TGCAGAATGTATATCACTGAGATCAGTTTGACCTAGAAATTTTTTATCTAATGCCAGTTAGAATTTCATAATACAAGTTTGAACTCAACAGATACACTTTGACTTGTCATTGAAAACTTGATATTGGGTTGACCTAGAATTTGAAGCAGTGACCCATTTATTTCTCGTTTTAGCTGCAAAGTCTTAAATGTTTACCTATGTACAGTTTTAAACATTTGATAATGTTATTATACATTTCTACCTAAGACTGCCTTTTACTTATTATTATCACCATTAATTATCCTTTTCCAAACATAACAACAATTCACATTGACATGACCTTTATTTATGTATAGCAGTTTGAAAAAAAGCAAATGCATGATGCAAATTCTTAAAATAAATTTATTCATCTAATTTTAAAATATTGCCTGTTATCTGTGTTGATATTTGCATAGAATGAAATGTGACTTCTTTTAATGTTACTTTTTTTCAATTTGTTACCATGGCATAATGCACAGATTATTTATCTATAAGTTTTTGTCATTCTTAACAACATGCTTAAAAATGCTAAAAGTTGAAAATGTCATACGTTTTCAGGTGTGTCTTTCATTTTACTTCCCGTTGCCATGGCAACAGAACATGTGTAATATTGATAAACAAAATATCAGTCTAAGTTTCTTAATTATTTAGAACTTTAGGTACATGCCAAAGTGCAATACATGTTGACTATTCATAATTTTAATTATCAATAACAAACCAGTTAACAAAATACTGAGCACTTAGTTTTCGTTACCCCCCCACTTTAAGAATATCAGAATCCACATTCTTTTACAATAAAAATAAAAATAAGGGTGATATTAGTATGATCTTGTTCAAGTCTTTGTATTATATGGTAAAAAATATTCATTTACATGACCGCTATGCCTTATGCTGGTAGGAGAAAAAAATGTCAGCCCCATATCAATTTTTGATAACCTTTTCATGCATTTTTTAGCAAATTTATCTATGAAATTCAGAGAATATGAAAAAAAATTATGGAAATGCACTCCATTTTCATATTGTTCAAATAGGATGTGAAGTTTTAACATCACCTGTACCAAAAATAAATACAAAAAGAACTAATTTATCATATAAATTGCGTATTAGCCATTTTTCAATAATTTGGCGGCCATCTTGGCGGCCATCATGGATTTCTCAAAACGTACCATGATTTGACATGTCTACCCAATTTTTTTGTAAACTTCAAACATTTAGCTTTACATTGGTATAACATTTATCCATGGACCTTTTTTGCACACAAAAGGTCCTCAGGGACTGTACTAATTCCAAGTTGACAGTTTTACATGAAAATTGCATTTTACAAATATTAGTAGGCTTGCAAATATGTAGAGTTGCAGTGGTGAAAGAATTGTCCGTTCGTCAAGTTTATTTTTTTTTCTTGCAACCCGTAACATTACAAGTTGGATAAGTCGAACATGCATTGAAGTTAAATGTGCACAAGAATGCAACCAGGTTAATAATTGCAACATAAAGTGAGAAATAATTCTTCCATATTTAATGCATACAAAACGTTTTTGAAATGCAGAAATATTTTTATATACACACAATAATGAGAAGAAAAAACTTATAGGTCAAAATATTGCAATAAATTATATAATAATGATCTTTCTAAGATTTCATTACGCTTAAAAGGACGAACATTGATCCCCGTTTGTTTTGCATTACTATTGTGAATTAAGCACCCCCCGTTTACTCAATTATAATGAGGAAGTGATAATTTAAGTTGCCGCTTAACACCTCTTTGTCCCTCTCCGTATGAGAAGGGGAATCCTGTGATGCGTGTATGTGGTCGCACAGGCACTTTCCTTACATGTCCTCGATGCACGTATATGTATCGTAAATGATTTAGTTAATAATATAAATAATGATATTGAAGGATTGTTTACCATCGATGAGATAAAACTTTTTGTTATTTTGTTTGCAGATGACGCAGTATTTTTTGCACACACACCGGTCGCCTTACCAGTCAATGCTCAATGATTTACAACTTTATTGTTTCCCAATTGGGGTAGATGAAAAATTAATAACGAAAAAGACAAAAATAATATTATTTGAACAAGGAAGACATTCTTCTTACGATTTCAGACTAAATAACGAATCATTAGAAATTGTAACACAATTCAAATATTTAGGAGTGACTCTCATTTACAGAGCGGTCATTGGAAACGCACCCAAAAAACTCTTGAGCAACATTCCCTTTACGGCTCTCCATAATTTATTTATTGTATTCAAATCAGTTAGAATTAAAGTCGTGGATAAATGAAAGCTTTTCGACAGTCCTTGTAAGTTCTATTCTAATTATGGGGCAGAAAGTATTTGGATATGACGAAGCAAAGGATATTGAATTAGTTCATTGTAAATTTTTACGAAAAGTACTTAATGTTAGGAAGTCAACAAATTTAGAGGACATCCAATGAGAATTCAAAGAAAAATTATACTTGTTAAATATTGGTTAAAGATTATAAATCTCGAAGAAAATTGTTTACTTAAACAAATGTACAACATACTTAAAATTGACGCTGATAACGAAAATTCATATAGAGGGAAAAATTGGGCCTACCATATCAAATCTATTCTTCAGGAGATCGGGATGTCTTATTTATGGTTAACTCATGCTGCTAATCAAAATAATTTCATTTCTATAAAAAACAGAATTTTGGACATATATAAACAAGAATGGTATAGAAAAATAAATAATTCAAATAGTTTATCTTCCTATTGTATTTTCAAACATGAATTTAATCAAGACTCATATCTTGTATATTTTTGTAGGTGGCCTACTATAAAAAAAATTCGAATTACTGATGACAAGTAGAAATCCTAAAGAAATTATCAATTTATCAAAATATTTATACTTTGCATTTCAAAAAAGAGAATTACAAAATATTTAAAATAAAATAAACTGAAAATATATAACTTTTAAGAGGTTAATTTATTGTTCTATTCTGTTCAGTATTAATTGTTGTTTTGTACCATTCTTCTGTAAATTGTTAAATATTGTACAATGTTTGTAACACGTTTATCCCTTTTCATATGATATTGGAAGTATATTGGCTATATGTATGCTCATGCTATTTTATGCCAAATAAAGATTATGTTATGTTATGTTATATGTGGTCGCATGATCGATAATTTTGAATAAAATATGTTTTCAAATGTGTCTTGTTACAGAATTGTCTGGCGCAAAATCTTAATGTCCTTATTAAGAAAACTGTTTTACTCGTAATAAGGAGTTTTAAAAGCCTAATTAGGGATATTTCTAAAAAAAACTAAAAATACTTTTTCACTTTTAATTAGGAGTAATAAAATCCTTATCAGGACGTTGATGTTCCTAAATAGGATATATAAAACCTTTATAAAAATTCTGTTACTCCGAGTTATAACAATTGAGTTAACTCATAATTAGGGAAAAACAAACCTAATTACAACTTTGAAACTCTTAAGAAAGAGTTTTAGAAGCCTGGTTAGGAAAAATAGAATATTAGGAGAAAAATAAAATCTTGGTTAGGACTTTGTAAGTCCTAATGAGAAGTTTAGAAAGCCTTAGTATAAAATAAAATGAACTTTAATTGTAACTTCTTATTAAGTTTTACGCAAAGAACAAAAAAAGAATTTCAATTCAACTTGTAAGATTTTTAAACTTCTAAGGATATGTAAAGTCCCAATTTATTTTCAAACATTGAAAACGTCACACCACCACACAGTAAGGTCATATAGCGACTTCCCAGCTTTAATATTGGACAAAGACTTATGATGCCCCTTTCTGCATGAACGGGAACCCGAGTAGAACCACCAGCGTTCCGTAAGCTAGCTGGATAGAATGGCGGGATTCAAAACCACGGCGGCGAGGAGCAAGTAGATAGACACTACTATTTTTTTTATAGTCTTGTTATTTGCAAAAGCAATATACTTAAAAGATAAGTATTGTATGCATCTAATATGTAGCGTAGAACTTTGCATATATTATTATCCAATGGTTTTAACATTTTAATTGCAAACAAAAAGGACGTTTAAAGTGAATTGGTCTATGAATACAAATATGAAATACCTAAATATTTCATCATATAAATGTCATATTAAATCATGTAAAACTAGATAAACATTTTTGTTCAAGAACAATTTGACAGGAATATCCATGATAAGTTTCTATTGTTTTTATCACAATTTGAAATATAACTTGAAAACGTGCCCATTGTAGACCAATCCACTTTAAACGGCATTTTTCATCATGAGTCGACAGATAAAGCGGGACATCCTTTTATGTCTCAAGAATACTAAATATATACTTACTCTATGTTTATTGTAATTTAATACCACTTGCAAACATAATTTTATCATGAATATTCATCTTGCGACATAAAACGATAGTGTTGCCACATTTAACGGCAAGGGGAAATCATGCGACATTAAAATATACCAATGCGGCATTAAACAGTAGAAGATTTTGCGATATCTATCGGTGGTTGCGACACTTAGCGGCAAGAACGACGTTTGCCAGCGATGCAACATATTTATGGCGCCACACTATGTACGAAGAATAGGATTTGAGGATTAGTTAGATCTACAAAGACGTCCCGTTGAGGTCCGACAAATGAATGATTTCAAGCACCGAAAATAAATAAATAAATAAATATATATAAAAAACAACAACAACAACTAGATGATGACGTCAGACGTTTAAAGGCCACGCGGGCGCTGCATTCAGATTTGTAATCACCATTGCAGAAAAGCTTTTAAATTGTTTGTTTAGAGAAGTTTAATGGTATTTGAATCATGAAACAAATCAATTATGCAGCGTTCATCATTGTTAGATAAATTATTAGATTAATGAATACCCACAACAACAAAAAGGTCGGCAAAGCTTTATCACTCACATTAGCGAGATATATGCATTTTATATCACGGATAAAAACTTCAAGCATGAAACAAAAATTAAAAAACAAAAACAAAACAAAACAAACAACATAAAAATGTTTTAATAACAACATATTTTAAACATTTAATGCAAATATATAATACACAGAAATAATGCATAATTATCATTCAAAGTCAATGTTTTGAAATATTTCTAACTTATCTAGTCAGATTTAAACAAACAAGAGCTCTCCTTAAAGCAGTGAGCTCGATCTTAGAAAATCACAGAGAACAAGTTAGTGAAATTTCAACCCATTTTCTTAAGTAGTTTTAGAGATACCAGCTTGCTTGCAAAAACTTGTCCAAAGTGTGACGACGACACTAAAACCGGAATGAATCAAATAGCTCTCCCTATTCTGCGAATAGTCGAGCTAAAATGTAAGTAAAAAAACATAAAAAAAAACAAACAAACAAACAAAAACAAACAAATAACGCAACATTTAACATGATTACTGAAAAACAGGAATGTTTTGTAGACTTAAACAACAATTATACTATATGTACATTTGTAGTAATTAAATCACTTGAATTTCATAGAACGATTCATTTCCATAGATTCTGCTTGTCAAAATATGAACACCGTTAAAAGAAATTAATTAACATTTTATGAACGAGGTGATCGAATGTGTAATGTCCTTGTTCACAGTTTATGAACGAGGTGTATGTAACATTCTTTTTTAACAGTTCATGAACGAGATCTTAATGCTGTAGCATTCTATTTGACAGTTCATGAACGAAGTCACTATGATGTTCTTCTTGTAGTTTATGAACGATGTTTACAACATCGATGTCGACAGTTTATGAAGAAGGTTTAAAATGAGCATTGTCGCCAGTAAAATGAAAGACATTTATATGATCTATTCCGTGAGTTTATGAACTAATGTTTTATGAACTATGTCGACAGTTTATGAACAAGGTTCATATGGTTTTATCAACAGTTTATGAAAGCATTTCATGCAATAGGTTCGCAGTAGATTGAGGAATGTTTTTTTTCACAATGAGATCAAATTAACTGATACACTAAAGCCAATTTTATCCATTTCTTTGGCAGACCTTCATTCACAGGTTTGACTGTAATTTGAAACAGTCCGCCAGACATCCGGGTCTTTTGGCGTGTATTCATTGCCGCACGTGTTCAATAAATAATTTTCTTCACCAAGTCCATGTCACATGTATGATCACCACGAAGAAACCAATGGTTCCATTGTTTAGCCCTCTCAATTTTTGCTTGGTTACCTATAAATACATTGAAGTTTGAGATATTTAAAGGCACGTCATGCCTCAGAAAGAAATAAAGTGTTCACTTCTTTATAAAGGGCAAACATGGATTTTATAATGTTTAAATAATGGTTTGAAAAAAATGTTAGATTATAGTCACCCGAAGAAAAGTAACGATAAATGTGAATTTGTGAAATGATTTGTCATAAAAGTAGCAAAATGTAAATAAAGTTTATGTAGTATTTTGATTTCCATATAAAAATACTAATTCACTGTAACTGAACTTATTGCCAAAAAGCAACAGATGAAATAGGTGATTGCGGTAATTGATCAATGAATAACTTAAACAATGAGTAATATCAATGACGTTTAAACAGAGTTATGGTTCTTGTTTATGATTTATGACTGGTTTTGCTGATTATGTGAGCAGCACAGTGCATAACAGCCCTGATACACAGTCTAAGCCTGGAAAATGAAACCAAACAAAAAAGAGGAGAAATTAAACAAAAGATCCTAAAAATGTAGGGAAAATTTATTGTTCTTCGTCATGATATCAGGTTATTCACTTACTCTATACGGACATACAGACGGACATACAGACGTTCCACTAAAATGATAGTGACCAGGCGACAACAAATACCATGACAGAGATGTTATTTATTCAAAAGAAGGACCTAAAGCGTAAATTATTTAACTCTTACAACGCTTTTAATACAAAAATGGACTTGTCCCTCTTTCATTTCGGACAAAACCTTAAAATCATTTTAGATATTTTTTTAAAGAAAGTACTGCCTGGCTCGCGAACAGTGCAGACTATGATCAGACGTGACGGTTGTTCCAGCTGATCTTTGTCGCAATGATTGCGCATGTGTAGAATTTACTTCCGAAAATAGGCTAAAAGGAGAATAAAAATCAATTTACCAATAATCCAATTGTTATTTATGATTATTGGTCGGATTTTAGCTCGTTCTTCGTCGTTCAAATTGTACCATTGGCCATCTGCATATAACTCTAGTGGTAACATTTTCAGTGTTACATTTCCATACCTGAAAATAATTACCGGTATATGAATAATATATATATGTATATACATTTCAGGTAAAGTAATACATCAACTACAACCATGGGAATTCCATGAAAATCGATTCCTCCATTGTTTCCTTATATCAAATAAGCGTCTAAATCACCTGAAGAAACGAAAACACTTTGCTAATCTAAAGGTTTTCAAAATGATCGGGACAAACGAACAATGACGGTGTTTACCGAAACTGTCCGGTGTTTATCGAAACTGTCCGGTGTTTACCGAAACTGTCCGAACTGCTGAAGACTGTAATACCTTTAAAGCTTGATGCCTGCAGGTGAGCAAAAATATTTCAATAAAATCAAACCTGAGAAAATGTACTAAGACTTCAAGAAAAGTAAAAAGATTCAAGATTTAAGTAATAATTACATGTTTTATGCGATTAAGTATAGATTTTTTCAGTATGTATAAGCATATTTCTACTGCGTTACTAACACAGGCACGAGTATCGGACCTGGGAAGAAATAATATGACCAGATTGATAAAAACACTTGGCTCATCTTAAAAGTGTAAAAAAAAAATGTAAAATATGACCCCCTTTAAAAATATACTATAAGTTTAGAGAAGGCCGGAAACTCCAGATTCGGGCCTACGAGCAAGGGATTCATTCCCAGGCCGTTGTGCAAACAGTTGTCGAGACAATTTAAAAAAACAACTTTTATCAATATTTCACGTTTGTATTAAGCTTCCAAATAAGACCGACCCCGAGTCTCTAGCCCTTCCCGTTCATGAAATATCTATCAGGAAACGAGCGAATTCGTGCTAAAAATCATTGGTAGACAGAATTGCGGCACAACGATTCGGTACGTAAACATAGACTAATACATGTATGTCAGCTGAGTATGGGTCAAAATCACTTGAATTTACTAAATAATATTACTAAATACATTAAGTTGGACCACTCACAACCGTCAATAACATCTGATACACACGAAATTCGAATTTCAAACCTTTCCACGGTATTTAGATTCCTTTCTACGCCATTGTAAATCAGCTGTTCGGTAAATTGTAACGAGCCTTCTGATTGGCCAAGAGCAACGAAACCGCAACGTTTCACACAAGGATGCCTAATGGCGTAGAAAGCGATTGGAAGACAGTGTAAATGTTTAAAACTCGAATCTCGTTTGTATCAGATGCTACTGACAGTTGTGAGTGGTCTCATTTAATGTATTTAGTATTATATTATTTAGTAAATTAAAGATCCGTTCTCAGCTGACAAACATGTATTAGTCTATGTTTACGTACGATGCCGCAATTTTGTCAACCAAGGATTTTTAGCACGAATGATATATTCCTGATATATATTTCATGAACGGGAAGGGCTAGAGACTTGGGGTTGGTCTCATTTGGAAGCTTAATACAAACGTAAAATAGTGATAAAAGTTTTTTTAATTGTCTGGTCAACTGTTTTCACAACGGCCAGGGGGAAATGAATTCCTTGCTCGTAGGCTCGAATCTGGAGTTTCCGGTCTTCTCTTAACTTATAGTATGTTTTTAAAGGGGGTCATAATTTACATTTTTTGTTTTTTTTTTACACTTTTAAGATAAACACATGTTATTTTCTTATCAATCTGGTCACATTTTTTCTTCCCAGGTCCGATACTCGTGCCTCTGGTTACTAACGCAGTAAAGGCCATTTCCGAATATTTTGACCCTATTTTGGTAATTTACATGGGTTGTGAGTGTTGTTTGTAATGTATAAATTGCTTCCTCTTGGTTATTTCACAATATTTTACTTATAAAAACACTTTTTCAAAATATTCATGAAAATTAGCATGAATCTGGAGGCATACTGCTTTAAAGTCCGAATGTTAATGTACTAAAACGTAAAGATAGCCACACTCCGGTTTATATGACGTCTTGGATCAGCATTACGTTACCTCGGTTAAGTGAAAAAAAGTTGTAAGTATTTTATTTCTTCACAAAACTTGTAAAAATACTTAAGCGTCTTTTTTGTTCGTATCAGCCCTTAATGATTCTTTTCACAAACATAAGGTATTTTTCCAACATTTTGTGAAATTTGGTTGCAGTGCAGAAAAAACACAAGTACAGAAATGCGTATACAATTTTCCCCGGATGTTAAGAACTACTTTTTGACTGAAGAAAACTTTGCAAGGAAGACTCCTCAGCCATAATGTCACGCCTATACGTTGCTTGCATAACATCCGTGCATTCCGTTCAAACGTGTTACCGGATGCCGCGGAAGTATAGTATTTTGATATTCGAACCCGCTCCCCCTACGCATAAAAACAAGAAAACAAAACAAAAAACTCAACCCCGACTAAATTTCCCAGTTAAAAATTTTTTAAATTTGATGAAAACCCTTATAATTTTAAAACCTTTCTTAAAGTTCGGTTTTTCCCTTAGAATAGTATCAAATCCCGTTTCGAGGAAGAAAAAACAAATTGTTAAATTTTTGTTAAAAAAAATTTTAAAAGTTTTTTTTTAAAAAAAAAATTGAAAATAATTGGAGTCAAGTTTGTTATCCCGTTTTCCTGTCGGTTTAGGGTGAAAAGCGCCATTTTGTTTCAAAAATCGTAAAAATCTAAAGAAAAGGGTTTTTCCCGGGGGGGTTTAAAATTAGAAACCCAAAATCGCTTTAAAAATTTAAATGAAGGCTCCCCCTGATGATTGGGCTGTTTTGAAAGGCACAAAAAAATTAAACTTCAAATTTGGCCCAGGGCAGATAAGTGAAGCGTTATTTTGATCTGATTTTGATAAGATTGACATTAAGCTATTCCTCATTAATACGCATTTCAAAATTCAAAGAAAGGCTGAACATGTTTTTTTCTCACGAGTTCTAGAAAACCTAAAAGCACAAATGTATTGAAAACCTGCTTACCCGTCTAGAATCAAATCTGCCAAATATTTTTGCTCATTTTCCGAGCCATAATTTTCCAAGACGTCATCCTCGTGTAAATCTGCTATTCTTTTCCCTAGCTCATTCATCATATCAGTGACTTTCTGCCAGACGATTTTCGACCGGCACGTTTTCCGGAGTAATATGAAGCCACTGGCGAACAGGTCTTTTGTACCGTAGACTGGATTCACAATTATGTCGTGTCGTTCTTCGAACGATATAGCAGTAACTGGATTACCTAGCCATACACAGTCTACTTCAAAAACGAACACGTCTATATTTGCCATAAGTAAAGTCTGTATCATTTCCGTTCGTTTTACCGTAATTTTAATATATCCTACTCGGCTGTATGACTGGTTGCCACGGAGATCATCCATATTCATTGATATGACATTAACTTCCGGCCAATCCTTTTGCAACTTTTTCTTTGACTGTGAATCGGTTGTTACGAATAAAACAGAGTCGTGTATGTTCATGGTTTTCGTATTGCATAACCAGCTATAGGCAAAAGGCAAATAAGCCTCGTTTATGACAGTAAAAAGAACCATGCGGTTTTTTCTCAAACTAATTTTACTTGCTACAGATAGGAGCTGCTGTGTCGCACTATTGTCGTTTTGCGTTTTTAAGTCTTGCACTGCTGCTTGTTTCAAATTAAATCTGTCAGAGCTACATATCAGGTTGATGTAATCTTCTCGATGATCAGAACGAGGCTCTACCGGTGTCTTTACTACTATATGTAGTAATAAACACAAGAAAATGATGATTGAGATCAACACCGGCTTCTTGTGACGTAAAGCATCACATGGCTTTTTCAAAATGATTGCGTTCCTCAAACGCAGAAGCAACCATCTGATGTGCATTTTCAAAATTTTTGGTTTGTCGGTCTTGATTGAATTATTAATATTTCATAAATTCCCGGCAACTCATTTGTATATAATCAGAGTAATCTGCTCTTTTGTTGATTCTGAAATGAAAAAAAGTAGGATTAAAAGATAATAATGAATATACAAGAGGTCCATGATGGTGCTAAAATCGCTCACCTGAATATAACAACTCTCCATGTCAAGGAACAAGTAATAGTTTAAACTATAAACAAAAGCAGATATAAATTCTAAATCTTAACTGATTTCACAAAAATAATATTTGTATCTGAAAATAGTGCATGTGTAGAAACATTACTGGTTGCTATTGCTAAGGGAAAACACATCAGTTGCAAAAGATGTGTACATGTAAAGAAAATCATTGACCCCTTGGGCGGGGCCAATTTTTACTTTTTAATTTTTTTTAAGAACTTGGTAGAAACTCACAAGAAGATCGATGGCTTAACGCAATAAGGGCTTAACTACATTTTGAAAATTTTACATTAGAGCAAAAACACTGGCTCATTTTCTTGTTTCTGTATATTCCCATTACATAACTTTGTTTTGTAATACATGTAAATATGAAATATACATTCTAAATATAACTGATAACAACATCAAAATAAATTATGTAAAAAAACAACAACTTTATTTGCAATTTTATTACTTATGCCCTTGTTGCATAACTTTTACATATAATTTGTGAGATAATATTATATGCAATAAGGGTGTTAGTATACTTACGCTCATATTGCAGTCAGATTTACATTAAACATGGCCGTTTTTTTTGTTATACAATAATGTACCTTGTCTACATATAATTCAATCAAAATAGGATATTTAACTTTTTCAATGATTTTCCAAGAAATACTTAAAAATTTACACCAATGTATTTACAATTCTACAAATGTGGAATTCAGTTTTTCAATTCAGTGATTTTGTATGGCACTTAAAATACTGCTTTGTTTACATTTTGCTACTTTTATGACATTCAGTGCTACTTTTTTCATGTGATAAGTATCTTACATGCTCTAAAATAGAGAGAAATAAGAATCCTCAAAGAAAGCCCAACACGGCAAAATTGAAAATGTTGCAGGCTCAGTTTGATTGAGCCTGTTCATGAACGGTAATTATAACTGCAAGTTTAACCGTCCACGCCCCCTAGCACGCGCTTAAGCAGAATTCAACATTTAACATGAACTGCTAAAATTTTGAATTATGAAACATCCGCAGATGTTTAAAATCATTATTTACCCATTATAAAACTCATGTTTGCTCTTTCTAAAGAAGGCAAAAATTATTCCTCTCTGGGACTAAACAAAGGTTTTTTGCCTTGATGGGACTAGATATATTTTTTAGACATTAATGTTCCATTTGATTTAGGTCTAGACCAAAAACAGGTGTACATAATTTTTCAGTCTGTTTTCTGTTTTTCCAGAATAATAATTGTAATTGTAAACAAGAGCACAGCTAGGCGGAGCATTATATGCCCGAAAGTGTTTTTTTAGTAAGGATGAAGCATTTGTAAGACATGGGAATTAAATAAAGTGTTACCCCCTTAAATAACAATTCTATGACGTTTGAACACTGTGGGCCAAATGGACATAAGTTGTGCTCCGGAAACTGTTTTCAGTTTTAAGGTAATAGTGGCATTGACCTTTGACCTTGTGAACCAGAAATATATAGGGGTGTTCCACCTAATATATATAAAACCATCCTATGAAGTTTGAACACTGTGGGCCAAATGGAACTTAAGTTATGTTCCGGAAACTGTTTTCAGTTTAAAGGAATAGTGACATTTGACCCTGTGACCCCAAAATCGATAAGGGTTTTTTTTTTTACCTAATATGGACAATCATCCTATGAAGTTTGAACACTGTAGGCCAAATGGAACTGAAGTTATACTCCGGTATGTGTTTTCAGATATAAGGTAAAAGTGCCTTTGACCTTTGACCATGTGACCCCAAAATCAATAGGGGTCTTTGATCCAATATTGACAATCATCCTATGAAGTTTGAATATTGTGGGTAAAATTGAACTTAAGTTATGCTCCGGAAACCAAATTGCTAACGGACGGACGGACAGACGAGCGGACGCCAGGGGGTATAACATAATATGCCCGAGATTATTTCGGACATATAAAATGACCCGAAACTGAAAAGCATTGCAACGCACTTCACTAAATCGGGCTAAGAATAACACAAAAATATGATTTTCAATTTATTTCTGGGTACATTTTTAATAATTGTTTGCAAATCTTTTGCCTGCTTTAAGTAACCAGCCTATCAACGTAAGAAATTCATATTTTAGGGTTTTATACCTCAGTGGAGTTTGTTCCTTTAATTTAAAGCATTCAATCTAAATGGTTCATGTACATAAAAATTTTATTATATAATAAAATTATTATCTTCATTTAATTGATGAACTTGAATGTTTTTAAATACTTTTGCTCAAAACTCGGTGATTTGCATATTTGATATTGTAGCAATGCCGAAAGTTATAAGACAACGAATATAAGGGGTTTGAATGGGTTATTATAGAAGTATTTGGAACTATAAACATGGATATTAATGGTTCGTAAGAGTTACTTCCCCTATCGAATACATCGCAAATGTTGATTGAACATTGTTCTGTTTGCAGACCGAGCCACTTCAGCAATTCTAAGGTGAAGAAAATTCATCTTTTAGAAAAATTGCAACCTTTCAATATAGCAATACATAACAGGCAGACATTAAAACCAAAAGTAAAACAATAAAACAATGAAAAAGCGAAAAAAACTTTAAAATAATACCAGATAAAAAAAATGACAATGTTGACTTGCTTCCGTTCTTGTCAGTAAGTGTATTGATGTTTCTATTCGGAATATCTAAATTTATCATTATCTTATTTGCCCAGCTATTAGAGAATTAGTTAACTATTCAACGATTACACTTTCAAACCCTTTAATTTTCCAAAAAACAAATGCCAATTCCCTCTTCCTCTATAAAAATTTAAAAGGTTTTTCATTATTTTTAAAGGGATTTAAAATGTTTCGCTTAAAATTTTTTGGCAAATAAAATTTTCAACTTTATTTAACATAATTCTTTTATCAAAAAAAGGGGTTTTAATAATTTTTTTTTTTTTGGGACGACACTTTTTGTTAAATTTAAACCCTAGTTATACAATACAAATGGAAATGATACTAATAACATATAAAACCTAACATCAAAAACAATAAGTCTTACAAAATATAGCAAAAACGAAGCAGCTAAAAACAACAAAGTCGTAACTTTCCTCTAGATAAAATTGAATTTTTGTACAGTTTATATTCCTGTTTATTTTAAATCGTTACCTTAAAACACATTTTTTTACAATCAGAATCATGTTTTATAAAGAATTATTGACCGAATTTGCTAATAAGTGAGAAGTTCAAATATAATTCTGTACTTAAGTGATATTCACGAACTGTTAATATGTTATAGTAAAAAAAGGTAGTCAACTACAATTCTTAAACAACACCCCTTTCATGTACCAACGTTTCGGCTAAACAACCTTTTTTTTAGAGTACATAAATAAATTATAAATAATAAACAAGAACATTATGTGAGCGTCACATGACGTAAATAGCGGAGACGTCAAAAAAAGAGTTTGTCGTAATAATCATAGACAAGATCAAGTTGATGCGATATACTTTCGAAAAAAAAACAACAAAAAACAGTTTAAGTGCAAAAATAAAGTAAAAACACCCGTAAAACTGACTAAGATTGTACAAAATAACCCCATGGAATTTGTTTTTTGTTTGATTGGAATTTACGTCATATCGACACAGTATAAGTCATATCGCGACGTTCCAGCTTTATTGGTGGTGGAAGACCTCACGTGCCCTTTCGTGCATTATTTCAGGCACGAACGGGCACATGAGAAGAACCACCGACGTTCCGTAAGCTAGCAGGGTCAACGACCTTAACCACTCGGCCACGGACGCCCAAACCCTATGGAAAATGGATATTATAAATAATAAACATATCCAGTATATTGCTTTCGTTATAGAATCAATTGTTGTATGCTACAAAGCATTTTAAATAAACAGCAACTAGACCAAAAAGTGTTGATAAAAATTATTAAAGATATTTAAAATTGAACAATCTGCTATGTGTCAATGAGACTGACATAAATATGCCCTTGTTGGCATACTTCAAAGAGGATATTTTTTGGTTTTGGGGGGGGGGGGGGGGGGGGTGGGGGGGGGAAATATGAAAATATATTTTTCCCTCAAAAAATTCCATATATTTTTTACGAAGGGCCCAAACCAATGATTTAAAACCCAAAAAAAGTTTTTTCACAAAGATTTTTAAATTTTAGCAATAATATTTTTCTTTTTTCATCATGAGTTTTAATTTAAAAGTTTTTAACTGATTTCTGGTTGAGAAAAAAATATAAATTAACACAATTTTATTTTTTTTTTCTTATAAAAAATAACAACTGGGAAACTTATGACTGGCAAAAAAAACATCTGAATGTTGTCAACATATATAAATATGTAGATTTTGACTCCGCCCACCACTTTCATATTTTTAGATATGAACTCATTCATTTTTGCTTTACTAATGATAAGTAACAGATAACTAACATACGGACAAATTTAATGCAACACCATTAGCAACTTGTTTAAAATGAATTTACATCTTGCGACATTTAACGGAAAGTAAAAATCGTGCGACATTTAACGTTACCATTGCGACATTTCACGGGAGAGGATTTTGCGACATTTAGCGGCAGGTGCGACATATAACGGCGCCACAGACATCTTATAAGGAATATCAATGACTCCCCGGAGCGGGGCCAATATTGTCCCAAGGTTTTATATTTCATCAAACTTGATAAATACCCATTAGAAGATTTTACATACCTAATATCTAAGCTTTACCTTCTTTGGTTTTTAAAAGAAGATTTCTTTAATTTTTGTTCTGTATATAAATAAGGAAAAGAAATGAAAAGATCCCTCGGGGCGAAAAGACCGTTCAACTATTTTATATTCAAGGGTGTATAAAATGTTCATGATAATATCAACTGCTACATTAGTTCGGGGAATGAGAAAATGTTCTGCTCACTTTCATTAACTGTA